TTGACCAACATCTAACGAGCGGTGTCTCTACTAGACCCATCCAAATCATCAGGTCAATAAATTTTTTAATTTCTTCGGAAATGGTGGGCTTCCATCTATTCTGTCGAGCATGAGTGGTCATTGCACGTTGATGCAATTTTTGCTCTGCATATCTATTAGTCTCTGTGACTAAAAGGCTTATCACTTGTTCATCTAAGAATAACGAAAGCACTTCACTTGCGCTAATGTCAGACGTTAAATCCATCAGAAGCCCACTTTTTCCGGTGAACGGAAATGACTGTTGCCTGTTAACGAATTCGTTCCAATGGTTATTGTCCACTGAATCAACAGAGGTCATTTTTGAATATCCGAGTCTGAACTCGATGAAATTCTATTTATAATTTTTCTTCTAAAACTCACTACTTCATCACTACTCTCCTCACTTTCAATTATACTTTTACGCCGTCCAATGAACGTTTTGAGGATAAAAATATCACTGATGTGCGTCCCAGAAAAAATATGCAGCGAGATCGATCCCTCGTCCTCTAGCCAAAAAGCTTATCGCTTTCCTCATTTCGAAACTATTTATTATATATATTTATTATATAACTACAATTTATTTTTTATAATGGAACGAAGGTTCTGTAACATTAGATCACGACAACGCACGGGCCTACTCGAGTTGCATCGTTGCTGTTCCCGCTTATTGCTCTGTTTACGTTCTAGCGCTCTGACAGTCGGATTTGGACCCCGCGAGAAACTCAATCGAATCGCGCTTGGCGACGAACGTGTTAATGATGGCCAAAAGTAATTGTGCCGGATTCTGCGGTATATCTTAGTAATGCCTTTGTGGCCGGCATATGCCAAGACATGATGTCGGGTCGGTCTTGGAGGGGGAATAGTGACTTCGTGTGAGCATGCAAAGATCTGGGTAAAAGTGTTTAAAAATTTCACTTGTTTAATAATTTCGTCAACAGTTTCGCGATCTGAAAAAATTTGTTGATGAATCAACGGTAGTAGCCGGCGAGGCCTAAAAATTCTCGTACGTTCTTTGCGTTTTTTGGGTCGGGGAAATCCCTTACGGCGGCAATTTTCCCCGGGCATGGCTTTACGCCATTGTCACTTATTATGTGCCCCAAATAGGCTATTTCCTTATGGAGCAGGCGGCATTTCGTCGGTTGTAACTTTAAATTTGCTCGTCTTAGGCGCTCGGCTAATTTGTTGAACTTGGCGCGTAGATTACGATGTTGTCCATTAGGCGCTGGAATGTCGCGGGGGCGTTACGGAGCCCAAACGGCATGCGCGAATATTCATAGTGGCCGTAAGGTGTCGAAAACGCTGTTTTCTCTGCGTGTTTAGGATCCATGGCTATTTGATGGAACCCATTTGTCAGGTCGAAGATACTGAAATATTTGGCGCTGCCCAGCTGATCGAGAATTTCGTGAATACTGGGG